CCGGTTCTTCAAGAAAGATAATGACCACATTATAATGATCTTCATACCTTGGCTCGAACTAATTGAAAACAATTGTCTTTGCTAACTCGAGCGTACAAAGTTGATGTTGTACTTGTTTGTGGTCGTCTGTAAATTTAATTTAGCCAAGACGGCGAAAATTCATCTCGCCAATATGCGCTTAGTATAAAGTATGCACACGTCAGGAAAGCAAAAATATTTTTTTCAGTTTATTTTCTTGTTATAAATCGCAGTTTTCATAAATGGCAAGGGTGGGTAGGGAGCAGGGGGGGGGGGTGCAGTAAAATTGTGTCGGAGTATTCACTATTGGTAAGGGGGAGTGGTGTGATGTGTTGATGTGTAAGCAATGAGAATTAATTTTTTGATAGAACTTTGTATAATTTCTTTTTTTTGTGTGTCTATCCCTTATTTTAGACACTCATCTTCTATTGGTAAATTATCTGCAAAACAAAATGGAGATTGCTATCGCTTGAAAGTTGATGAGGGTGCTGCTGCAGTTGACTAGCATGCATAGAAATCAAGAGTGAATAATCACTTGTTTTCATATAAATCTACTAGTCATTCAAAACTTTATCTAAATCTTCTTCACAGTCACTTTGAAAAAGACAAAGCATCAGCCGCCAGTTTGTTAACAATCACATAAAACGGTATAATGCTAGGCTACTCACTACTCATTCTATAACAGAATGGATAATGAATAGCGTAACCAATTAGAGGATGGCAGTTGTGATAGAATGTTAGTAGATTTATTTATCAGTACCAATAGATTAAATGTTTTATCACCCTCTCAAGTAGATTACTCACTCTCATTTTTTTATGAGCAATATACTTGTCTTCAATCCCAATCTGTACCATGCTGTTTTCAACTATTTTTGTCCCTAAAGGTAAGAAGCTTGGAAGGTTTGACTTCAGTTGCGGCATTTGGAACACTGATTCTTGCCAACAATGATCTTGATTGGAATGAGTTACAAAAGATAAGACATGTCCACGTCCTGGACCTCTGTCTCCATGGCAACCACAAGCTTGAGATGGATGCTTATTGTGAGTGTTTGATTATAATGATTTAAGGGTGGAATTCTCTTACTAAGGAGACTAGTAGGAAAAACCAGATCTGAGTCACTAGAGTTGAACTTATGTTTGCAGGAGATGCTAATTTTTTTATGAGGGTTTCTATTGATCATTTTGCTGCAGGGTGAGAAAAGTTTAAAACCATGTTGTGTGGTTGCATACAAGAACTACATGTACTTACTTACTGTGCCTTTCAACAAATAACAAATGTGTTTTTTGCTATTGTCAATCAAATGTTCGGCGGCTCCTCCCTGCTTCTCACTACTGCATCTGGAGTGCATGGTAATCAAATCATTGAGCACAGTTCAGACAAATAAAAACAGTGCTCAGTAGAAGTTGGAAGCTAGGAGGAGCTGCCAAACATTTGGTTGACAGTCGCAAAAACGTGTTTGTGGGTTAAGCTTTGAATTTTAGAGTCCGCATGTTATTGAAAGGTGCAGTAATGGGAAATTGTTGGTTGCCAGGGTTCTCATTAAGTGCTGGTCGCCGGCTAAAAAACCGGCTACCTCGATTTCTCAGCCACCTGCATCTTATGAAATAATAATATATGTAAGTTGTAAAGAGTAATATAATTTGGGAAAACACAGGTTTTTGAAGGTGGGTTTGCTTAGTAGTTGGCAATTAAACACTACACTACTGGTAAAGGAGACTCTTACAGAACTTGTTTAAGAAAGTTGAAGGGTCATCTTTTCCCTTCATGATAGATTTTGACCAATATCTACAGACAGACTTACCTATCTATGTTTTTGATTGTTTCAGATAGAATGCATGTTATCAATAGCCTTCCTTTGGTTTGGATGCTTGATGGACGTATTATAACCTGTGAGTTGTACAATGTTAATGCTAACAGTATGTTGTGACTTTTTACCTGTTGTACTACTGTTTGTGGGTACAGTGGAATCCCAAGTTTTTGAACCTTCAAAGAAAGGAAAATTGGTCTGCAAAATCTATCTTGTAGTTCAAGAAATTCAGGGTAAAATATGTGTGAGGTGAGGGAAATGACTTTTGATTAAGTTGTAAGGAGATTAAAAAAATCAAGGGTGTGATAAATCAGGACTCCACTGTACATGTATTAAGTAAAGCTGGAGACAGTTAAAAAAAAGGTAAGTGAAAATATGTTGAGAGTTTGGGAAGAGTGAGGAAAGAGGGATAAAAGAGTGCCCATGATAGAGACAGGCCTTTGAAACCTTTTTTACTTCATGTGTTTAAAGCGAGCACTTTGTGGTATAGTCAGGAAGAGTTTTCAATTGATCTGAGCCTGTAAGTTGTCACCTATAAACAACTAAATGTTAAACATTAAGAAATCATAAGAGGTAGTAGGTCTGCATGAAACCCTGTCGTTTTTGCCTTGTGGTGTTTGACGTCTATAATCTACTATAATTATATTTTGCAAGTTCACTTGATATAGTTTTACATTTTTCATGAATTTTTACTTTGTAGCTGCAGAGCGTGCACAAGTGGAGCAGTTTTTTAAAGATTCTGCATTGTCCGACAGGCCTGTGGTATGTGGCATACTGATATATCCACCAAAAAAAAATGATATTTATTTGTTTAACAAATTTTTGAGGGTATCAATGCTTTCTTTTAATAAAGGATAAATATCCTCGTTGTTTTTATTATTTTGTTTTTTGTTGTTCACAGCGACACAAGCTGCCCAAAAACCAGTTTGTTCCGTCAGCTTTAAAAAACATTGCTGTGACTGGCGTTTTTGGACAAAAGGTAAAACAAGTGGCCAATTTTTGTCAATGGCTTAAATATTAACTTTGCTGAGACAATTTGTGTTTGATGATTGCATCTTTGATAATAATTATTTTTATTAATTATTTATGATTTATTTATTTTATGCAAGACCCATATTGATAGCAGTTTTCATAACTGAAATGGTCAGCCTGCATAAATATGTTTTATATTTATTTATTTATTGATATATTTACTTATAATAATGTGAAAAAGATGATGTGCTATGAAGGAGATGTGACTTACATCAGCATGCCATAGTTTGTCATTGTACAGTCATGCTCTATTGGTTGATTTACCGTAAATCTTTGAATTAGCACCCGGGGCACTTGTTTCAAATTTAGGAGAAAATGGGGGCCGCTTATTCGAGGGGGGCGCTTGTTTAATTTTTCCCAAATGGTGGCCTGATATGATCATTTTTTTTCAATACATCATCTGCACGTAAACAACAACAGAAGCTGTTTATGGACATAAAGAACTGATCTTTATGATCCTAAAGTTTAAATCACAGCACCGTTAGTACTTGAAGTGTTCAACATGTTCACTTAATATGTTCACAAACTGAAACAACGTACAAATCTAATACTACACGACAAAAACTATACATCCTTTGTTGTCTCATTACTCATCCACAAAATGGGGGAGGGGAGGAGGGTGCTTATTCGAGGAGGGGCACTTATTTTAAATTTTGGCCGATAGGAGGGATGCTTATTCGAAGGGGGCGCTTATTTGAGGGAGAGCGCTAATTTGAGGATTTACGGTATGCTCATCTGGCAATGGTTAAATCTAAATGTCGCCCAGTGGGTGCCAATAATAAAGGCAATCGTCACCCGCTCTCTCTCTAACCTGAGGTTACTTTGACTTGGGTATAATTCTTCTGTCATTATTACTGTACAAAACACTTTGTTTCTCTTGACTTTGTCTCGGGAACATTGAATTCCTGGGAAAACAAAACTATCTGTTTGCTGGAGGTTGCTTCTGTTTATGTTTAAATTAGAGTAAAGAGCTAACACTAGCCACTGACCGTCAGATGCCTCCAGCTAAATTCATGGTTGGATCAATGTTTATCTTTGCGTCTGCTTTTTCTTTTTTTAGAGGGAACACTTGATGAGAAGATTTCCTTTAAAGGAAAAACTGAATGTTGGTAAGTTATGAAAAAAATTGAAATCCCTCAGAATAATGGACTACTCTCTCTACCCAAGTACCTCTTGATTGATTGTTCTGTGTTTTGCCTTGTTCTTCAACAAGATCTGGACAAGCGACGACTCTTGTACCTTGCCTACTGTCTTCAGCAGGAAGTCAACCTTTACATGAAAAACACCATGAAGTAAGTAGTTTCTGCACTAAAGTATTTCTCTGACCTAATGTAATATTCAGTCAAACATTCAGCATTCTTGTCAAGATCCTAACATCTTTGACAGACCTTTCAAGTACATTTTGCACATCAGGGTATTTGCAGAACAGTAAATGTCAAGCACAGAAGCTAGACAACATAATAAGTTTACATTGGCCAAGATGAAACACTGATAAATCCCAGTTTCATAGCTTGGAGCACTCTTAATTAAGCATGGTTTTCTTGGGATCAGGGTAATTTGGAGATTTGGCAGACACTTGTCAATTTCTTAGACTTGTATGGATATGTTAGCTCGACATTTGGTGTTTGGGCAATATATCCCTGCACTGTCTTTGGCAGGTCAGTAATGATCTCGATTCAAGAGTCTGTCATCTTAAGCTAATCAAGAGTGAATCTCGCAGTCCTATTCTAATTCACATTCCAAGCAAGGGCATAAAGTTCGTAGTTCTGATATAGGGTAATATGCTAAAATTTCAGAGGCAAAATGAAGCCATCACTACTGATAGAAAACTTGATAAACTACAGAAATGAAGACAAAGAAAGGTGCAACATGCTACTACTGATGTTAGTGGTGAGTGTTGTAAGTCAGATGGTTAACTTTGCCCTTGACAAAGAGCTGTCTTTCTTTGTAGAGGCATAGTTAAAATTTGGGACCCCTATCTGGAACATTGCCTCCTATTGTACCCCCTTTGGATCCCTATCCAGAACCTCTATGGACCCCATGTGGTTAGGGTGTAGGGTGTGTTTATGGCTTAGGTTTGCATCACTGTAAGAGTTTTTGGTTAGGATTAGCACATAAGTTTAGCGTAGGGTTAAGGGCTAACAATAGGATCCAGTGCGGTTAGAGGTTAGGGTTCAGTTACACATGGATATATTTTGAAGTTTCTTAACATTCCAGAATTTTTCACGTGTTGAATCTGAGACTCACTTCTTTCTGCTATGTTAATAATTATTTTCATGTAGAAAGAGATTACGCAGGATTTGATCAGAGTAATGTTATTTGATGTAACAAGGCTGTGGTCTATGAAATATTACACAGAGCCCAAAGATTCCTAACCATGAAATCTTGGGTGCCCAACACTTAGTTAAACTTATGAAAAAAAATTAGTTTTTTCAGTCACCTAATGGCAAAAGTTAGTTGCCTGTGGCACCCATGCACTTCTAGAGCACAGCCCTGTGTAAAGTGATTTTTGATGTAACATAATCAATATCTCTTTTTTTATTCAGGCATCTTTGGAATTTGCTATTCCTTCATTGCTGGTTCAGCAAACTCTTGATATTGCAAGACTTCGAAAAATAAGGTAAGTGCTTGAATAAGTATTTCCATTGATGTCAGTTGTTAATGCTCTGTAAGTTTTGATTGTTGTTCAATGATAACACTTACTGTAATTGTGTTTCAGAAATGTAGATACTATGGATGTGTTCATGTTACCTCCCGACATCAGATGCCGCGTGATTTCCTTGCTTCTTGGTGCAGTGAAGATAGAACGAGATCAGCACATTGTAAGTGGTGTATTGTATTGTTCTGTCCTTAATTTAATTTTGCCTTATTATGTTACATGCCCTAAATTGTCTTCCCTGGTCCCTTGGTTTTGTGACTGTAGCAGGTTTTTCACAACCTATCAAGATCACACCATCCAAGTTTGTAAGACACGTTTTTGAGTAATTGACCAAATTTGCTCCCTTCTCTATCAGTGTATCTTTGATGTAAGTTTAATATTTCAACTCTAATTAATTCTACCAGACTAATTAGTAATTAGTAATTCACTAGATAGCAAAAACACAGACACTCTCTTGTTCTTTAAGCATGATTATGAGAGTGAATGCTGGGGGTGAACTTGGTTGACAATTTGGTACAAACTCAAAAAGTTGGGTGCAAATTCAATTGGGCATGACACCTCCATAATATTATTCTTTAAAACAATTTTTAGCAAAGAGCAGTTCAATCCTAGGGTTTTGGGGAGTTAGATGGCTCACCAGTGCCAACATTCAACTATGTCAGTGTTAGGACCAAAGTGTAACGTTTCATGACGTAGGTGTATGTCCCATTATGTGCATGCAGGAAAATATAATGTGAACTGTAATGATCATGTAATTACTGTTTGATATGTTGAAACTGTTTTAGGATGGTGGTTTGTACAACAGACTATACTTGTGTCTTTATGATCTTGTGGCTGATCTGGTGAGACTTGCCAATGGAGACAGTGTATCCAAGTAAGACTTCTGTGTTGGATTTTTCTAGTTGTTGGACGGTGAATCTTAGCATAATTATTAATAATAAAGTTTACAAGTGTAATTTGCATTCTTTCAATAATTTATTTTGTAGATATCAAGCAACAAGGAAAAGGATGGACTCTAGGTTTGTTTTGTGAAAGTTTTTCCTTTCGTTGACCTTGTACTTGTTTATAATTATAGTAAGTGATAATTTGAACTAGTCTATTATCATCATTACATGTAGTAACCCTCAGTGGATCAACGACACTAGCCAAAATAACACATCCTTAACTTGATGCGTGCATCTATCTTTCTCTTTGTACACCTAATCCCCCATGGAAGATGCCTGAAATTTAGCTTAAACAACTTCACTCTGTTGATGTTGCCCTACAGAGAGTCTGTGTTGTGTCTATTAAACAATCCGATCATGAGCTTGAGATTTCTATCGCGCTATAGAAATCGAGAGTGAATAATCTAATTGTTTTAGTTTAAATCTACTAGTCATTCAAAACTTAATTTAAATTCTCCTCACAGACACTTTGAAAACACCAAGAAATGGCTGTCATTTTGTTAAGAAGGGCACACTGCTATGCTATTCACTATCTATCACAGAATCTATCTATCACAGAATAGATAGTGAGTAGCGTAGCCAATCAGAGAATGGCATTCGTGATAGAACGCTAGTAGATTTATACTAAAAGTGGTTATAACTTGTTCACAGAGAAGGAAAGTTGAGCAAAAACCAATCAGACACTTTCCTTGGATCTCTATTGAGCTATGTCAGTCATCAGCCATATGGAACTTTTTAGGGTCCAATCATAGATTTCTTTCATTAACAAGGGTAGAGGTGTGAAGGAAGATATCAGAAATCTTTAATTTGAGAGTGACAGATCCAGCCACCAGTACAGCATCCAGGGCTGTCATTTAGGGCTTTAACCTGTAACACCTGTTTAACGGCTGAGTATCCTTGATGAGCCCTTGATGTTACAGGTGAAGTTGCCTGTTGTTGATACAAATCATCCACAAAGTCACAAGTTTGCTATGGGTGTGAAGACCAAGGCAATGGTTGAGTCAAACCTTAATGACAGCCCTGGTATCATCAGCTCACTTTTCAGCTGGTGAGGATACTCCAAACATTTGATATGATCATTATTCTCTAAAATAACCATTCTATTGGGGGTGATCATTTTTACTGCAGTGATTTTAATTTATGGTTTATTTTGTAATTCAGGAAATCTGGCTACAGATGTTTGTTGGCATCAGAAGTAGTTCAGCTGCTGTGCATTGTACCTGTTTTCTTTGACTTTATTGGAAAAGACCCTGGTAAAGAATATTCTTCTTATTTCTGGTCCTAACAATGAACATGTGTATAGTATTATCAACAAAGTTACTTAATTTCAAATTGCCCAGGAACAGTGCAGTAAATTTTGAATCCCAAATTGTTATCTGTAGGAGTTGCCAGTGTGATTCCTTCAAAAACCTTTAGCAAAATAGCCAATGTTAATCATTCTACTTCTTTGACGAGGCTTGTAATGATCTGAGGGCCTTCTGCTTTCATGGATTGAGTGTATCACCAATTTTGTGATTTGGGATACAATTATAAGAATTTTCATAACAAACCTCACTAGTCTTGTTCATAAATTTACAAGGATCTTCGATTTCTTTTAGGGACCGCTCTCCTTTTAAGTTTTTCTCTCTTTATATTGCCATGATACTTTCCATGGCTAGCTAATAATTAAAATCTTCCTCGCATGCGTGTATTTCTAAACATTAGCAATTGGTATTTGACTAGAAATATACTCATCAAAATTTTGTTTTATTTTTTCAGGCATTCTGGACCTAATAATTATAGCTACTAAAGATTCTACGATTGGTGAAAAGATCAAAGCATTGACCTGGAAGGTTCAGTCTGAAGGGGTAAGAACATAAACTCTTCTTAGGCAATTACACTTGTGGTAGGCTCGGTGACTTACTGGTTTGTGCACAGGGCTCTGTTATTATTAGCCCTGGTTGGGGACATTGTGTTGTTTTCTTGCACAAGACTGTACTTTACTCTCTCTGTGCCTCTGTTCACTCATGTGTATAAATGTGTAAATAGGTCTGGCAAATTTAACTCCAGCGGTAACCCTGCGATGGACAAGCATCTCATCCAGGGGGAGTAGAAATAGCCCCAGTTGGTTCATCCTATGGAAACTGGAGATAAGCGCAAGCCTGATGGGCACTAGGTCCCAAACATAGACTTTACCCACCTACTTGCAGCTACCATAAAGCTACGTGAGCACTAGTGCGTGTAGTTTTGTGTTGGTTTAAGAGCTGATAAAAGAGAGTGATAACCTTGTTAACATTTTGATTTCGGGGGCAATGCCATCAACTTGTCCTCCAACGAAATGTGGTTGCTGTAACTTACAGTTATCATAATGATAGAGGAATTAGTGCTCTGGCTTGGGTTGCTTGAAAAGTGGAGAACACTCTCCACCAGATAAATCACTATTCAGTGGATAGCGTGGTTTGTTTTCTTAACACTTATCCACTGGATAGCGATTTATCCAGCGGATAGTGTTACCCAGTCTTTGAACAACTGGTGCCTGTACATTTGTGCTGGTGTCAAGTTTTGTCAAGGAATGTGATCATTAGCTAAGGGAAAAGATGGCAATATCAGCTGCATTTGCCAAAAGCAAAGCTGTGTCAATTCTGAACTAGCATGATAGTAACATTAATCCTAGTTGGTTCTCATGCTACAAAAAGTGGAAGTAATGTTTGAAAATTTAAGCCAGTAATTAGCCTGCAATAGTCTATAGTAGTGACTGCAGTGATAACATTTTTGAGGTTGATGCATTTTTAATAACATTGTTTGATCTGAAACAGGGAGGAAAGAACAAGGTGTCCAGAGAAATTGCTGAATATCTTCTTGAATGTGTAAAGGATGCTAATCCAATGTCATCAGGTCAATTCAATTCTAAAATAATAATTAAAAATACTGCTAACGTTATTATGGCACTGAACAGATCTACTGATACAGTCTTACAGAAAATGGGTCATGTGTATTGAAGGCATCTGCAGTCAAGTGTTGATCCATACCCATGTTCGATACCCTCCATTGACGTTTCAATCGACACTCGCTCAATACTCTGCTAGATGGACACCCTGGAATACACTTGATTGACAGTCAGCCTAGAGTCAGTCGAGAGTCGACTAATTTTTGATACATGTATATGAGTTGGTCAACACTTGGCCGACTCGAGTGTAGATCGAATGTTGACCGAGTATCGATTGGGATGCCAATGGAGTGTTGATCGTGGGTTTATCGAGGGTATCAATTGACACTTGATGGCAGATGCCTTTAGTAGGCATGATCCAAGAAAGTGATACCACAAGCTGATGTTTTATCCTACTGAAGTGCAACTTATGTATGGGAAAACGGAAAATGTCTTCTGTTTCTTAATTGCTCATGTGATGTAATAGAATATTGCTTATTGTTTATTCTTTAGGAAAAAGGAGCAAAGAAGATGAAAAACTCAAAAAAAGCCAGCTGCAAAATGACTGTTTAGAACCAAGCTATGTCATTACAGTAAGCTATTGATAATACTGTGGAATTGTGATTTTTTGAAC